CAAACAAACAAACAACCCAACCCCAAAAAAACCCACCTCAATCCCAAATGACACAGGGAACCAACAAAAGGGGATGAAAATGGTTCTTAGCATTGCCAGTACATTACCAGCCTGACTCACACCAATCCATATAATTTATACTATTTAATGTCAAAATGGGCATGGGCAGCTGTTTTAGTACATTGCCATGCTCTTCCAGGATGCCCTTGGAAAATGTACCTCTCCTGTGTGCTAGTTAAGATAGACTAACCCATGGTCAGGCACTCATCAAAGCCTCTCCATTTCTTAAGCTGACAGCTCCGGACATCCAGCATCAGCCTGATTTGAAAGGCAGAGCTTTCTTCATCCTGAGGCAGCCCAGTAATTTCTGCAACACTATTGCTAATTTGAAAGCTGACAGTTTTCATCTCCCCACCCCTTTGGTTTATTACAAGCATTTCATCAGACTGGCTGTAGACTGCTGTGTCCTTCTCCGCTCTGGGCAGAGGGGGAAAAGCAAGGCTGTCAGCAGCGATGCTTAGTTGCTGTGGTGATGTTTCTCCTGGAGCAGGCGGCTACAGCAAGTCCCCCACCCCACTGGCACCTAGCCCAGGCTCTTGATGGACCTGTGGAGCCTTCCAGCTGATTTAATTGGTTCATTGTGACCTGGTTTGATGTAATAAATTCATCGTTCCCCTGTTCAACTTAATTGAGTCATTGTTACCCGATTTAACTGACTGATTGTTGCCTGACTTGATTTAATTAATTACCGCCTGACTTGCTGAATAAGCAAGCTCCTGCTGCCAGCTGCCGGCATGGCTCATGGCTCCTAATCCGTGCTGTCTACCTCAGCCCCTTGTCCTGTACCAACCTGTGCTTCTCCTGGGACCTGCTCTCTCTTCTACTCTAGCCACATCCTCTGTTACTTTCCCTTTTCTGTTCCTGTAGCTCGTCCCCTACCCAAAGAGCTCCTCTAACTCACCCTCTAATTCTTCTTTCCATTATCCTCTTCTTTTTCCTGTCTTTAGCTCTGGGACTACCTCCACTTTTCCTCCGGGAGTTCTCACCACTGTGTCTCACAGCAACTGCTCCTGCTTTGATTCCTCTAAAGCTGCTCTTGAGTTCCCCTGAAGACTTTGCATTTTCCTTGTTTCATGCACGACAGATTGCCCTTCCTATAGCAGGATTTTTTTCTTTCCTATTCTGCCCAGGAGTCCTACGCGGGCATCAGCACTTGTCCAGTGCTCTCTTTCTTTCCTTTGTTTCCACTACTTCCTGTACCCATTTTTTTCTTCCTTTAAGGTATCATCCAGAAGCCCCCCCTCCCCCCCTTGTTGCATGTTATCTAGCATCCTTTAGGTTCTTGGCTCTTTTTAATATGTTCCCTGCCCCAGATCCATTCACTTGCTTTGAGATTTCTGTCTCCACTGTAAGGGTATCTTCTCTGATTGCTCCTTCTCTTTAGCCTGTTGTTTTCACCTAAGATGTTCTGATGGTGGTTCAGGTTTCTTGCTGACTCTCCACTTCTGGCCCTTACTTCATTCCCCAATCTTCCCAGATCTCTTTCATTTATCTTTCTGTGTTTCACTGTCTCCATTCAACAGAAACATGAGATATAGCTAAATCTTGTCCTCTTTTCTCTGCTGTTCTGCTCCACATTCCATCTGATGTCAATCTGAGAGCAGGCACATACTTGTTCAAGCAGAGAATTACTGTTCTCCAAAGTAATTGCGTCAAGGCATAAGTCTGAATTTATATTAATGACCAGCATGAGTCCAGAATTCTCTGTGACTACTTCAGTTCAGTGCATAGAGGTGAGGTTCGCTTTGCCCATGCTGTCAGTCCAGTATGCACAACATATTGTGTGAGCAGATATCCCTCCTGGCTTTGCATTGTCTAGGCCTTGTTTGTCATGACATACTTCCTGTTCTTCTGCACTGTCTCTGTTTATCTATTTTTCATTCTCATGTATTGGAAGAAGGTCCAGGAATGAGTGCTTGTCTCTCCAATGCAAGCACATCTGGCTTCTGTATTCTGGGAACAGATATGGGGTGTTTCCCCTCATTCCTCTGTCTCTCTCTTTTTCACTGGTGTCTCGATGTTTTCTTGAAGAGAGAATCTCATTGTCTACAAAGATGCCTCTCTCTCCCCCTCAAGTCTTAAAGGAACCTTCACTCATAGGATCACAGAATCATTTAGGTTGGAAAAGACCTCCAAGGTCATTGAGTCCAATCTTTTACTGAACACCATTTTGTCAACTAAATCATAGCACTATGTGTCATGTCCAGTTGTTTCTTGAGCACTTGCAGTGATGTGGACTCCACCAGCTTCTTGGGCAGCCTGTTCCAGTGCCTGACCACCTTTTCAGTGCAGAAACCTACACTGCATGACTGGGGGTCTTCCATGTCACTTGCAGTGAGTTAATCTGTCTCTGCCTTTCTTATGCACGTAAGAGCCACTGTATTTCTAGGGCATTTTTGTTCAAACCCTTCTGGGTTTCATATGGTAGATTCCATTGATTTCAAATACCTAAAAACCTTGGAAGATGCTTTAGGAGAGCTCAGTCTTTGGGTTTTGAGGCCTGTTTTTTTGTTGGTGTGTTATGGGTTCTTTGGTGGGAATTTTTTTTTTTTTAAATTCAGTTGCATTTCAGTTTATTTCTTTTTTTTACAGTCTCCTAAAACTGAATGCAGTTCCCTTAAGTTTCTCCCAGCATGTTAAGCAGAATAATCAGCTTTTTTTGTACCCCAGTTAATGCAACTCAGCCATATTTCTGCAGCTCTAACATCTATTCTCTCCCTTCTATAGGCAATTCCCTTTGAATTCATCTTTGCAGTTCCTCACCTGCTGTTGGCTTCTGCATATTTGCTAAGTTACAGAAGCCATCAGACTTTGCAGATGATACAGATACTGGCAATCCCTCTCACGTTACTGGAATATGAAAGTATGACACCCAGTCCTGTTCTCATGAAAGCTGGTGCCAAACCTCCCATAAAATGTTATGAGAACAGGACTGGGCCTCAGAATCTTAATTCCATTCTCTGTGATGGCAATTGAAATAACATTAAAATTAGAAACAGAATTAGCAGTGCCAGATTCTACTTGTTATCTTCCATCTTCTGTGTTTGGTAAGACATTTTTCTGATTGTGATTGCATTCACTGAGTTGATATATACAAAATATGAATGCTCCAGGCTTTTCATAGTGTGGACTGCCCTTCAATGTACAGTCTGCCTTTCCATTTGTAATTGCAAAGCACTCCCATGGCAAAACCAGTGCTGCATAGATGGCTAAACACTATTTGTGTCCTTTTACCTTTATTTGGTGTGAAGCATATTGTCTTTTTCTAAAATGGTAATGGCTGACTGAAGTTGTTCCCTTTTTCAGCCCCACCCTGCACTTCAGATAATTCTGCCCTTTGGGAGAACACTGATATCAAGCACACTTCCTTCAGAAATGAAGTTGGATCTATGCAAGTAATTTAATCAGAATTTTCAGTTGGTATCATTGCAGTGATATAATTATCATGGTGTCAGTATGCTTTAATAAATACAAGAGATAAAAACCCCAGAAGTTTTACAAGATTATTTATGCAAGTAGTTTTATCTTAAACTGAGAAACACACACAAAATCAGATGTGTAGCCATTTTGATGCACTTGCATGCAGGGAAGAATTGCAATGCACTATGAGATGCTCATCATGATGCAGTCATGAAAGGCAGAACTTGTTATGCACTGGGATATAGCTGAGGTCTCTTTTCTCCACATTTGGAAATCTGAAGATTTTTCTGTCTTCCTCTGTGTTAATCCTGTAGGTCTTCTTCCTCTGCATTTCTCATTCCAGAGCTGTGGTGAAGGACAAGATGTTTTTTTGTATTGCCCTGATGGGAGTTAGGGTCGCTGGGTCAGCATGTGGCTTCACCCCATGTCTCCAGGGCTGTGGGGGGCTCCCTTCATGCTACACAGTGTCAGCAACAACAGTTTTAGCCAATAACTTCCTTTTCTGCTACAGCATCCTTTTGGCTTTCCTTCCTCATGTCTTTGCCATATGATTTTTATAAACTCAGGACAACTTCTAACATGCCAACCCATAGTTAACATTAGTACAGGGAACTGAAAAGTTCATATCCTACATACATAACCTTAGAAATACTTATTAACAAAAAGCCCCATCCCTCCCATGCGTGCTAAGAATACCATCAGCAAATGTTGCCACAGTATGTTCAGGAGTTGAAAATTTTCCAGATAAATCATGTTGGTAGTTATGTTCTGTGACTCTGGGCAGGGGTGGTTGAATAGCCCTAATTTGGAAAGTATTTGTTAAACTCTTCTGAAAGAAGGTCAACTTCCAAGAAGCAAGAGGGGCCTCATGAGGGGCATCTTGTAGAGGCCACATTTCAGAGGCTAGGTCAGGGGGTTCTGTACAGTTGATAGAAAATGAATGAATGTAGATGACAGCAGAATTTGGACAAAGGAGTTTAACCATTTGTACCTGCTTCTATTTCACAGCCAGTAAGAGACACGAATTTGGTAAAGAATATATAAATACAAAGCTATATGAACACACAAGTTTATCCATTTGCCTTACTGGCTCAGTCAGGCAGAGTAAATATATATAACCCTCTAGTTCAGCTATTTCATTGTCACAGGATCCAGCCTCACCACTTAAAAGGTGGTCTAGGTCTTCTTCTAAGATTTGCCTTTTATTTTCTACTCCAACTTTTTTTTTCTGAAAAGCATTTACAATGTTTTATGCAGCTGTGCAAAGAACAGTGAACCATATTCTGCTGGACAGAGGCTCTGTAAATTAACTCTTAAATGTGAGCTGATAAGGGCCAAGAGGATTTAGCCTTAGAAACACAATGCCTGTGGGAACTTAAGAAATGCAGTGTGAGAGTCAAAATTAATTAGCTGCT